CCTTTAGCTTAGCGGTGGTGACGTGAAGTCATGTGACCGTGCTGTAGTTCCTTTATAGCCCAACATTAGCCACCTTTAGCTTAGCGGTGGTGACGTGAAGTCATGTGACCGTGCTGTAGTTCCTTTATAGCCCAACATTAGCCGCCTTTAGCTTAGCGGTGGTGACGTGAAGTCATGTGACCGTGCTGTAGTTCCTTTATAGTCCAACATTAGCCTCCTTTAGCTTAGCGGTGGTGACGTGAAGTCATGTGACCGTGCTGTAGTTCCTTTATAGCCCAACATTAGCCACCTTTAGCTTAGCGGTGGTGACGTGAAGTCATTTGACTGTGCTGTAATTCCTTTATAGCCCAACATTATCTTTTCACTTCAGAAATCATAAAGTGGTGTTAACATGTGGAGATTATCCTGCTGAACTAAACCTGTAAGTGTCATAAATGTTTGTTTACAACAGAGTAATTGTTGTTGGTGGACTTCAGGGTCAGCCTACAGAAATACGTCATCCCTGCACCGCTCTATAATCTACATTCACAACACATCCTGACCTCTGGCAGACCTCCTGGGCACTCTTCATGGTATTTCCTGCGTTGCTGATGTCTTCTGGCTGGAAAGTCATCATGGCTTGCATTTCCAGCACTGTGGCGTAGATAAGAGCGTGGTACATACTCTCATTCACTCTGCATAGGAAACATGGGGAGGATCAACGTCATGCACATTACATGTAAGCAAACAGTGCAGGGGGGAAGGAGCACTTAGACCATCACTTAAGTTAAAATAGCAGAGTTGTAAAAATACTCTGTTACAAGTAAAAGTCTTGCATTCTAATCTTACTAGTGGAGTAAAAGTATAAATTGAAATTAAAGTACCTCTTCAGTGCATTTATTGAGTAGATGTACTTAGTTATACCACTGTAGCAGAGCATAGTTACTGTATGGCCCACATATTTTCCTGCTGGGTAAAGATAAGAGTAAATACAGCACTCTCTTTATCCTTCCTATCTGCTCTGCAGTCCCAGTGTTTCTTGCTCAGTGTTTATTCTGCAGGGCTGTTGAATCAGTCATACGTGGGGCGTCAGCTTCAGCAAACACCTCACATCCTGGACAAGTGAAGCCAGCCTCGAGTCATGGCCGACAGGAAACCAACAGCGACTGAACGCACTTTACAGGAACTATTTAACATAGACTGAATTCTGCTGACATCATGTTTAAATACACGCCACCCTGAAATGTGCTTAAATAGAGAATACAGTGAACCAGGAACCAATGTGGTGAAGTGTGATAAAGCACATTTAATCAAGTACTTGTAGAATACGAAAATACTTTACTTGTGTATTTACATGTTATGCTTCTACTCCACTACATTTATCAGACAGCTTTCCACAGACACTGATTATTAGCCAATACAAAATATAAATCCATTAACAAAAAATCAACATTTGCCTCCTTTGTTTAATTCAGTAACATAATGACATCACTATGAAACACTCAAGCTTCTATTGGCTAGCACTCCAACACATTGTACATGATAGGCTAAGGGGCGGGACATCTCTAAGCAGGTTGACCAATCACAACAGAGCCGGCCCGCTTACCAATCAGAGCAGACTGGGCTCTGGTTTCAGACAGAGGGTGAAAAGAGGTGCTGCAGCACAGGCAGTATGAGAACATTAAAGCACGGAGACATGTCCCAGTAGAGACACTACATACTGATATACACCTGAACATCAGCAGGAGAGGACTCTTTAAAGTAGAGACACTACATACTGATATACACCTGAACATCAGCAGGAGAGGACTCTTTAAAGTAGAGACACTACATACTGATATACACCTGAACATCAGCAGGAGAGGACTCTTTAATTATATGAATTAAGGTGTGACTTCAGTGTGATTTCCGAACATTAAAGCATGGAGACATGTCCCAGTAGAGGCATATGTACTGCATTATAAAATAATAAAGTAATATCTAAGTGTAAGTGCGTCTCCACCACCGCCTCACACTCAGACAGGAAGTGGATCTAGACATGACTCTGGGATTATTGTGTTACCTCGGCCGCAGTTTATCCAGGCTCTCGCTGAAGTGGTTGTTCAGGAAGAGATCCAGAGCCTCCATGCATTCATCCAGACTCTCTTTCAGAGTCATCTGAGAGGAGCTGCAACACACACAGCAAATACACTGAGTGTGTGTAGTAAGGGGGATGTGTGTGTGTGTGTGTGTGTGTGTGTGTGTGTGTGTGTGTGTGTGTGTGTGTGTGTGTGTGTGTGTGTGTGTGTGTGTGTGTGTGTGTGTGGGAACTGATAAACACACAGGATCCATATGGCGTGCAGAAAGAGGTTCACAGCAACCAACTAAACACAGGAGTGGTGCAGGAATGAGTCCTAACACCCTGTATTTGAATGTTTTAATATGTTTCTGCTGCACTATTTCTTAATGCTCTTGATATCTTTCATTTTTGTAAAGCACTTGAATTTGCTTTGTGTTGAAAGGTAGTATATAAATAAACTTGCCTTGCCTTAAAGAATAAAAAACGCTGGTTCGCAACAGAGATTATTTCCTGCTATAATCCAAAATCACATGGAGAAATCTCGTTGGTATTTTGTGGAGGGAACCAGGGAGATGCTGCCTTCAGGGTCCACTACAGAAATACTTCATCCCATAGGAACATCTTTTGAAAAATGACCGGGAGAGAAGTGGAAATATCCCCGTTTTACCACCACTGTGCAAAACTATTAGACACATTTGAGTGGCATCAGTGAGATACATGGTAAGGGGGAAAGGGACTATTTATATAACGCTTAATTCAGTCTTTACGACTCCTCAAAGCATCCCACATTCACACAGAACATACAGGTGTATATGTACAAAGTAACATTGCTTTCACATATGTCATATTACACTTATAGGACAAGGTGCATGCAAAAGACAGACATTTAATAAATCCAAAACAGACAAGACATTCAAATACATATTAAGAAGTAAATACATACAATTGCTTTTTAATGTCTATTAATACGAAACAATTCAGCTGCAGTTCTTATTTTTGTATTAATGTAAGGGCTTTTATAACATACAGAATATCTTTATGAACTTAGATTGCTGTATAAATTAACCAAAAAATAAGAATATTAATAAGCAATAAGTGGTCTTTGTGAGTTTCTAAGAAGAGACCATAAATAATGTTATTTAAGTAAAAGTTGTAGGTAAACGTAGTCATGTACATCCAGCCATTAAGCCTCTAAACACACACAGAGGAAAATGGTTGTTTCAGCACCATCACACAAATGTTAAACAAGTAGTAGCCTAGTTTCTATTCCACGTTTTCGTTCCAAGTATTGGATGATAAGACTCCGTTTAAAATGTAAAATACAGTTAATTTGCTTTGGGGGTTTGAGGGAGTTTTACATTTTTTTATTTATAATGTGTTTTTCGAAAAGCTGTGCAATATTGAAGACACAAAATGGCATTGGGCACCAAACATATGTTTTGTGTGATAATGATGAACTACAGGGGAACAAAGTTAGCGTTTCCTGGGGCAGCGGAGTGATATTAGTATTTTTGCACTATTTCCTTGACAGGTTGTTTTTAACCAGTTACAGTTGATGCAGAGAGCAAACATATAAAGTTTCACTACTCACTTTTCTGCAGCATTTGCCTCTTTCCCATTGGACATGTTCTCTCTGTCAGGAGCTCACTGCAGGAGAACCAGGACTCTGGAGAACCAGAACTACGGAGAACCAGAGCTACGGAGAACCAAACCGAGGCTTTCTTATATTTTAAAGCCCACCGACCTGAACAGGCTGTAGAGAAGTTAACTTTCCTGTGTTTTTAATCCACGGAATGAGCTCCGAGGTGAAGGCACGCACCTGGCTCCTCCCCTCTGTGACGTCACTGATCCGCAGCGGTTGGGAGAAGTACTCAGATCCTGTACTTTAGTAAAAGTATAAGTACTCAGATCTTTTACTGGAGGAAAAGTAGAAGTACTCAGATCTTGTACTTGAGTAAAATTAGAAGTACTCAGATCTTGTACTTAATTAAAAGTAGAAGTACTCCGATCTTGTACTTGAGTAAAAGTAGAAGTAGGCCTACTCAGATCTTGTAGCCTACTTGAGTAAAAGAAAAACTCAGATCTTGTACTTGAGTAAAAGTAGAAGTACTCAGATATTTTTGCTTGAGTAAAAGTAGAAGTACTCCGATCTTGTACTTAATTAAAAGTAGAAGTACTCGGATCTTGTACTTGAGTAAAAGTAGAAGTACCAGAGTGTAGGAATATTCTGTTTCAGTAAAAGTCCTGCATTCAAAATGTTACTCAAGAAAAAGAAGATATACAATAAAAACATGAACAAAAGTACTACATTACAGTTAAAAGACCTGAATTCAAAATGTTACTTGAGTAAAAGTACACCAGTATTATTATGAAGTAAGTTAGTGTGTAAATTCAGAGCTCTCTCAAATGCACATGTAGTTTGGAAGTGAGGTCACTAGAGGGCGCTGGTGTCGTGTTTGTTAAAAACCATGGATGGAATGTTAAAGAATAATAATACCAATTAAATAAATATGGAAATACAAAAGAATAAATACATACAAATTGTAAAAATATCGAGGAGAATATGTTTGAAAAATAAAATAAAATATATAAAATAAGATATTTATAATATTGAAATAATATATAAGGGACAAAAATCAACAAATGAAATGGAAGTTAAAACATTAAAATAATTATTTATTGTGAGGTAGCACACGCACACGTAAACACACACACACTCACACACACACACACACACACACACACACACACACACACACGTGAACTTCAGAGTATGTACAATATGCAGAGTATTTCAGCAGACAAGTAGTTTCCTTGATGACATCTTTAGATTTTCTACAGGAATTCAAAAATATAAATACAAATACAAACAGGTACGTCTGTCACGTCATCTGAAGGTAGAAATAAATATCCATCGGCTGTTTATTCTGAAAGCTTCATACAATTATACTAATGTGTATTCATGTGGATCAATACAAACACAATGAGCTGATTTGTTGGACTATTCGATCACAGCCCTGCTAATGAGAACTGACTCCACACATGCAGTCAGGTTTACGCAGTCTAGCTGATGGAGGGAGTCCGTATCGAGGCGTGGGAAAAGCTATCTTTGTAAAGATTGAACAGAGCTGTAACCACATATCTTTTACTGATTAATCTGCCATATAATTTATCGTTTAATCAATTGGTCTGTAAACATATTTAAAATGAACTTGGTTCTTCTGATCAATCGGTGAAAACGTTATGATATTTTGATTTATGAAATGTTGCCGTAGGTGACAGCAAATTTGCTCGAAACTCAAACTAGATGATGCTTGACATTTCTGCTTTGAAATGATTTCAATAGAGCGGTGCAGTGATGACGTATTCTTGTAGGCCGACATGGAACTAAGCTGCAAGGGTTCCCTCGACAAAAAAGCAACAGGATTCCTCCATAGGATTTTGGAATATTGTACAAAATAAGATCTGTGGAAAACTAAGCTGTTTGATAAATGCACGTTTTGTTCAGCCAGATAATCTCCACATGTCTACCCTACTTTTATAATGTTCTAATCATAAATCTTATCTCCAGAATCTAAATGCTAACGTTATGCTATAAAGGAACTACAGCAGAGTCCAGCAGCACGACTTCAACGTCACGCCAACTTCAGATCCATATTCAAACACACAGATTCTAGATGGAACGAGTTGAAGCGTTTGTTTGAACAGTCTGCAGGAGGCAGGGACTTGCTCTCAAGCAGAACAGAAACTAACTTAGAGGAGTGTTTACGTGTTTGGCGTAATGACGTACAACGGCCTCCACGACTTCTGTAGTCCTATTCAGCCACTTGGTAACAACCATCGTTTTTCAGACACGTACACTCTAAAATCACCAGTGGGGTCACTGCTGATGGATTTAATGTCGTAGAACAAAACGTGATCCGTCTCTTCAATGTGTCTCAACCAAAAACTTTATTTCCAGCTATTTTCCAAAAACTAGTTCAAAAATCCCGTTGGCTCTGAGACGAGGGAACAGGAAGTGGTGAAATGCTGACTCACTTCCGGGTTTTAGGACTCATTCCTGCACCACTCTATTGC